GATCCAAGCTGGCAATAGAGCCAATTTCCTTAAACAAACCATGGGGCATCCGTACACTGGGTTATTACTCAGCAATAAAAGGAATCATCTATTGATATATACCACTTGGATGAACTTCAAAGGCATTATGCCAAAGGAAAGGAGTTAATCCCTAAGGACAGACTGAGTCCATGTATTTATAGGCTCAGCAATATAAAACTGCACAGATCAGTGGTTGATAAAGGCCAACCGTGACGGTGGTTGGGATGAGAGAGGTATAAGGGATAAAGCTATCTTGTTGCCAGTGTAGTGGTGGATAAATATACCGCTTGGTGCAGTAGCACACTATTAGTTAGAAACCCAGATACTCAGGAGGTGGAAGTAGAGGGATTGTTTGACCCAAGAAGTTTGAAGTCAACCTAGGAAGTACACATATTAAGAACCCACCTCAAACAGACACACTGTTTTAGTCTCTTGTCTGTTTCTGGGACAATATATCCAACACCAGCAATTTAAAGATGGCTGATAGCTCATAGTTTCAGAGTCCATGATTGGCTAGCTCCACGCAAAAATGGCGTGGTAAATAGGCATCTTGATGGGGGAAGACTGCTCAAACCATGGCAGCCAGGAAGCAGAGCAAGAAAGGACAGGCTGCACCAGTAGTGACTCAGCTTTCCTCCATGGGGCCCCACTTCCTAACAGCCCATTCAGCTGTGAACTCAACACTGGATAAATCCACTGAGTAGCGTAGCACCCCTAGAATCCAGCCACCTTCCCAGCCCCACCTCTGAGCAGAACAGGAGGTTCTCTGAGACTTAAAGTTCAGATTTTAGATCAACCAGAACACATATGTTAAAATTCATATGTTAAAATTCATAGACCTGTATACCTTCAAAAGGTCAACTTCCATATATATTAATTTTAAAATAATTTAACTCATCATCATAAAAAATTCACATAAGCATACATGCACAAAATGTATGTGGAATGTGATTCTACCTTACATTTCTCTAATCGATGGGTTTTCCTGAGAGATGTTCCAAGGATTAGAGTAGAGGACTATCAATCAGACAAGACTTTACACTCCCAGTTTAGGTACAAAGTGCCACTGTAACCTGTTTTGGCATAGTTAGGCTTAGTAAGCACTTCATTTAAAAAAACTGGAATTTGAACTACTAATGTAATAATGCCTAGTAACAAACTAGCACACACACTGAGAGCTTACCATGTAAAAGCCCTGCACAAAATGCTTTTTTTTTTTTTTTTTTTTTTTTTTTTGTCTTTTTCATTTTTATCGGTACCGGGGATCGAACTCATGACTGCCTGCTTGCAAGGCAGGTGCTTATGCCGCTGAGAGAAATCTCCAGCCCCACAAAATGCTCTCTTAATATGCCTCACCTCATTATTTCTCTGGGTAGTTCCTTGGGGTGTGAATTGACTTGCTCCGAAGATGAGGAAATTGAAGCCATAAGAAACTGCTCGATTTGCCTACAACGACTTACACAGTAGATGGCAAAGCAGGTCTGGACTGTGCAGTTCCTCTCCGGTCCTCTACTGCTGGGGGGAAACTGAGCTCCCAACCCTGATACCATGCTTTCTTTTCCATCACCGCTTTCCCCCTCAGCGTGGCTCCTCAGAGCTGTACTGCAGTCTCCTTCCTTCATTCCCTGTTCTCTTCCTTTCATTCTTTCTCTCTTCCTTCCATATGTGATATGTCCTTCATAGGACCAGATCTTTTCTGCAGTCTGAAGGCTCCCCCAGCTCCTCTGGCTCCCTTCCCATTTCCCCCCATCAGTGTCTGCCCCAGTGAATCCCGCATGTCTAACTCCTCAGTAGCCAAATCTTCAGGATGATAATGCCTCATATACCAGGTGTTACTAGAGTTCAACTCCCTGACACAGGTGAATTTAATGCCCCTGACTCGTGGTAGGTTCTCAGGAGTTCCCGGGCAACTGAAAGGACAAGTTTGTGTGACCAACGGATAGCAGAAGCTTAATGAGGGAGTGTTCCCCTTTGGCAGCTAAAGGGAACAAGCTTCCGGCAGTCCCCATCTGAGTGTCCACAGGACCGAATCACTTACCAACAACTCTTCCCCCAAACCCAGCTGGATACAGACAGGCTGGCTGCTTCTTCCTATCCCCACTGGCTTTTTATACAGAGAAGAATTTTCATGCTGACATCCCAGCTGGCCCCCATGTCTCATGAAAGTCACTTCATGGGCTGAAAAATCTCTCTCTGAAAGAATTACTCTCATAAAGTGCTGTGAATTGGATGCTGACCTGGAGCTGACCAGAGGAATTTTTCAATACCCGCTTTTATATATAAAATTTGTAACCTTTCTCTTCTCATTGAAACCAGGCGGTATTGATTGAGTAGAAATTTCAGGAAAGTGTGTTCGGGGCTTAATAGGGGTGAACCTGTGGTAATTGTGGCTACCCACAGTTCAATTAAGATTCCTAACCAAAAGGAGAAAATAAAATCAAAATCGATACTTCCACGGGCACACAGTTTAAGAACTTTGTGGTGATTTGAGCAGAGCCTCCTTCAGCCACAAGCAAAGTCTGTTTCCTGCCAGGGGGCTGTTTTTCCATCATTTCTCAATAGGGTGACAGAGGAGGAAGGACAGGAGAAGGAAACAATGAAAGGTGATTCCCACAGAGAGACAAGAAATCCATCAGAGGCAAAAGAGACCAGCACAAAGAACCAACCAGAAAGGAAAATAAATGTCTCCCTGTAAGGACAGAGCAGTGACTCTTCCCAGTTGATAAGGAGCAAAGCTCCTTGCTCTAGAACTTGTGGAAAAAATTAGAAAATGTCAGATCTGGAAGGGCCCAAGAGATTGTTGTTTTGAAAATAAAACTAAGACTCGAGAGACCCAAAATAAAAATCTTGCCCGGTGGGGCTGGGGATTTAGCTTAGCGGCATAAGCGCCTGCCTTGCAAGTTGGCCGTGAGTTCGATCCCTGGTACCGATAAAAACGAAAAAGACCAAAAAAAAAAAAATCTTGCCCAGGAGCTCAAAGAAACTAAGAGGCTTCCTCTTGAGAAAGAAACTAGAATCTGGCATCTGTCATTTCGTTTCACTACACACAGGCTCTTCTTTCTTCGGCCAAAACAATCTCCTTCTTATATTTTCCTCCTTCCTACCCGCTGCAGATCAAAGGACACTTTTTCAACTTTCTTTGTTTCCCAAGCTCCAGGTGCCCAAGAGTTCTTCCAATTTTATTTCCACTACCTGTGGGTTAATGTAGAAAATATCACAGGATTCTGAAGATTCTGTCGGCAACATCTGTCTGTCCAAAGCAGAGACATGGAACACAGCAGGCAGATGTGGAGACCAAGATGCTGTCCCTGACTTCAGTGAATCCTTCCACATTACACCCCGAGCTGCCCACCCACAGCTCTTTCTTCTGATGAAGCATGACCAAAACTCCTAAAGAACTGGCTCTTCTCTCACATGTCCCATTCTGATTCTGCACAGTCTTACGCAGAGGCAGGAAGCTTGATGAGTTGATCATTTCTGATCAAAAGAGGAACATTATCTCCTTCCACCTAGATTTTTTTTCCTATCTATGAAGAGGTCAGGGTATCTAATGTCCAGTGCCATTTGATGCGTATTTGACAGCACCTGGTAACTGCATTGAGTAAGTGCATCAGCTGACCAACAAAGGGCTTGTTCTGGTCAGCTTCCCCACTGCTGAGACAAAATACCTGACACAATTTCAGGATCACAGATCTGTTTCAGAGTCTCAAAAGGTTCAGCCCTTGGTTAGCTAGCTCTGAGGCAGACATACGGTAAAAGGACAGGTGTGTAACAAAATTGAGGGGAATGACATACTTAAAACTATTAAAATAAATAGGATCTTACTTGGAAAGAAGTCTGAGCTAACTAAGTGCACTGTGACCTGGCTTGACCATAGCCAGGTCTCATAACGGAGACCAAAAGAGAAATAAAAATAGGAAAATCTAACCAGGTGTGGGACTACATGCCTACAATTCCAGCCCTCAGGAGCTGAGGCAGGAGAATTACCGTGAGTTCAAGGCCAACCTAGGCTACACTGTGAGTTCAAGACCAGCTATGAAACCCTGTCTCAAAAGAAAAGGGGGCGTCTAATAATACAGCTGAGGTGGCTTATTCTATGGATAATATGAGGTTTAAAGTTTTAGAGTTCATCAACATGACTAGGCTAAGACTGCTCAGAGAGCTGGTAAAAGGTGATTTCTAGGCGTTTCATTAGAGTGTCTCGGGTAAAAGTTAGCGTGCGATTTGGTGGGCAGAGTAAAGGAGATTGCTTCCATCAGTGTGGGTGACGCCACCCAGTCCTTTTAGACTCTAACTAGAACAAAAAGATGGAAGAAGGTTGACGTGACTGCCTGCACTGGTGCAGCCATCTTTTCCTGCCCTTGACTATCAGAATTCTTGGTTTTGGAGCCTTCAGGCTTGGACAAGAGCTTAGACCACAAGATTCTGGTTCTTGGAAGACTTGGACTAAGACTGACAGCAACTCCTGCTGGTTCTCATGCCCTCAGGGCTAGACTGCACTGTACCACTCGCTACCTGCCTGTAGAAGGAAAACCATGGAACTTTCCAGCCTCCACAGTGATCATGTGAGCCGAGTCCTCATAATAAATGTCTCCTGGTGTATCTACATTTATTGCTTCTGTTTCTCCAGAGAACGCTGATCAATCCCCAACCTTCAATAAAGTCTGAATTCTTACATAACTCAGGAGGGGGTCAAGGAATGCAGAAGACCATGGAGAGAACTCACATTTGTGTTAATGCAGTGCTTAATAAGGACCAAAATGTCCAAACTCAACTTTTTCAGTGAAAACAAAACGTTCTCAGAGACATAGAAGACCATGAGAACTCAAACCCAAGAAAATTGGCAGCTTTGTGGGGAGAACCTTCGACTTTCTGTATTTCACAGAATAACATTTTGGATCAATTTAATCTAAAGCTTAAAAGAGATAGAAGAGTTCAGCTGACTTCAAATTCCATGTAAAAGACTTGACAGTATAAACGCTGAGTAAATATTAATTTATTTTCCCTCCTGTTCAAGAAATTGTTGATGGACCGTGGCTGTGGAATGGTCTGCTCTGCTTTAACCTATTTGAATTGGTGGACAACTTGGAATAAACGGAAAACAAGGCTGTCAGTGGACAATTACCACAAATAAAAATACTGTCTGTTCCACTTGGCCGCACATGTCAGCAAAGGAAAGCACACAGAGTTTGTCCATCAATTTCCAGTAACACATTTTTAAAAGTCTTCTTTGAAACCTGGATGTCTCTCAAATAACTGAGCTAAAAGCTTGTATCTATTTTGCTTTTGCAGTAGCTACTTGGAAACAAAGAAAATGCTTACTTAACTAAAAGCAGAGATGCAAGACATGAAAAATAGAAACACTCATTTCTTGAAGAGATAGTTTATGCCATCGTTGTAAATCCTAAAGCTACCTTCTAAAGACTGAAATTACACAAATCCTATAGTGACCTAAATCCCAAGGCTGTATTGTTTGGAGCCAGTCGCTTGTGAGAAATCTCTGCAGATGCATCTAACATGAGGAAGTCTTCACACGACCTTTTGTAGCCTTAGTCACCACTGGTAATGCCTGGCTTCTCTCTGGAGCAGGAAATAAAGAATGATTATGCAACCATCCGCTCCCTTTTCCACTTGCACCACCACCAGCCGCAGTCCCCAGCGCCCACCTGATGGAGACAAGGTCAAGGGAAATTTTTCCTCTCTGTGATGTGTGCACGAAACACAGTACTCTTCTGAAGGCCATCACCAAGTCAGTCTCCTCCTCCTCACAGATTCAGCTCCTCTATGTTCCATTCATCCATTCTATAAGTTTTTGTTGACTGAGCACCTCACGTATGCCAGAAATTGTGCCAGGAGCTAGAAATGCAACAGATACCCAAAATGCTAGTTATTATCCCTCTTCCTATCCCGTTCTAGGAACTTAATAAAGAGAAAGGGGAAAGACTTTTTGACGGGAGGGATCCTTCTGAATTGGGATCCATTTCACTAGTTATACTATTGCTGACAAGATTAATTAACTAATGAATTAATTGATACACAGCTATCCACTACTTTGCACACTGGTCATCCTTGTAACTCTGTTACTTTGCAGAACCTGGAGAAATATTTTACTTCTACTCTGATAACACAGAGAACTGTTTGATAATATTTGCTCCCTGGCGGTCAAGCTCCCTGGGTTACCTGTGTCAGGAATGTGATCATTCAAGGTAATGTTTCTTCGATTTCAAGGTAATTTTGCCTGGATTCCCTTTGAAATTAAGAACGTCTGGGCTACTATGATTATTAGAACAGATATGGGCCTCAGATGCTTTTCAACAAATGTGACAGCATGACCTTCTTTTCCATTACATTTTGTAGTTGCTGTTACCTATGTGTTTTTTTAAACTTAATTTAAAATAATTTTAATTCTAGCTACTTTCACAGTCTCCCTTTCTTTTGCTCTGAAATTGTTACAATTCGTGAGATTAGGTTTCCTAACAAAACATCTATAAAAAAGAGTAATTTTATATTCTTATGCCTAGAAGTTATAACTCTTATTTTGATTTCTTGTCTTGTTGCATTAATTACATTTTTCAGACTATTTCTTGGCTATACTGGTAGCTTCTGCCAAAATGGTCTTCATTCATACTTTATTATTAGATTTTTATAATTAAATATAATAGTTTCTTTTACTCTGCTGGTCCATCTTATACTAGGTTTCACTTTCAGATTCAGGTTTTAGGTATGAATGAATTTTTGGTTCTGTGAAGCGTCTTGTTCTTTATCTATGGAGGTCATTACATGGTTTTTCTCCTTTGAATAACTGATATATTATCTATATGCTAATGTTACTTTTTAGATCTTTACTACTTACCTATGGTGTATAATTCATTCAATAAATCACTGAATCCTAAGTATCAATATTTTAGCAAATATTGTACATTAAAAAGTATTAGTCTTCACTTGCATTGTCTTTCCCATCATTTACAGGCAGAATTATATTAGTGGGGTAGCTGGTTTCTATCACTATGACAAAATACCTGAGATACTCAGCAAGAGAAAAGGTTGATTTTGGCTCATGTTTTTAAAGGTTTCAATCCATGGTTACCTGGTCCATTGCTTTCAGGCTTGTGGTGAGGCTGAACATCAGGGCAGGAGCATGTGGTAGAGGAAGTGTCTCACCTCACAACAGCCAGCAAGTGAAGAGTGAAAGAAGAGACCAAGTTCCCAATTCAAGGTCAGGCCCTCAAGTGACCTAAGTGCCTTGCACTGGGTCGTGCCTCTTAAGGGCTCAACCAACACCCAGCAGTGCTATGGGATGAGGACCACAACTTCAACATCCAGGTCTTTAGAAAACATTCCAGATCCAAACTATAACAAATAGTTTTATAGAATTAGAAAATTTCCTTATTTTCCATGGTGTTCTTTTAAAATTGTACTTACATAGAAGCATTCAGAATGTCATCAAAACAGTTGCAACTATTTTTGCAATTATACAGAGTATTCAGTTAATAGAACCATAGTTGTTTCATATAAACTGCTTCAGAGACAACCAAAGATGAAAAACTACTGGCCCCATAGATAACTCATTTGTAATGTGTACTAACAAGCATCTACTTTAAATTTCCATGCCAGTTTACAACTTGCACAATGTACCAGGCAAGGTAGGTGGCCTTAATAAGATATTATATAATATAATATAAAACTAAATTCAGTAGCGTATTAAAAGGATTATATTCAACAACCAAATAGTACTTATTCCTAGAATCCAAGAATAGCTAAACACACAAAAATCAATGAATGCAATACACTTCATTAGTAGAATGAAGAAAAATTATTATCTCAATGTAGAAAAAACATTTTATAAAATTCAACACCTTTTCACAATGAAAACATTCAATAAGCTAAGAAAAGTAAACTTTCTCAAAATCATGTATTATATGTATAAAAACATAAAAGTAGTATCATACTCAATCTCTAAAATTAAACAAGGTAAGTATGCTAGCTGTTATGACCTGTGCCTAGATGTCCTCCCAAACCCTCATGTGGTCATAGGTGAGGCTTTTTCAGAGGCTGGATCTAGATTATGTGATACTGGGATTGATTCATGGTGCAGTGTTAGGAACAAGGGCACTAGGATTAAAGATTGAAGGTTACTTACCCTAAGGGCCAGTAGCGTGCTAAATTCTGCCCACCTGTCTTTCATGCTATCCTGCCTTAGAGTCCACTAACTATGGATTGAAACTTCTACAAACTGTGAGGTGAGCTAAACATACCTTTTCCTTCTTTAACTTTTGGTGTTGGTGATTGTTTCAGCAACAAGAAAAGTAACTAAGACACTAGCTTTTAACACTTCAACATCTCACTGGAAGTTGTAGACAGAGAAATTTTTTATAAAAGGAATATAACTTTAAATCACAGAAGCAAGAATGTCTCTGTCCATACATGGCATAATCTTGTAAGTAGAAGCATCCAATTAATTCCCTCCCCCCCCAAAAAAAATGTCAGTTGATAAATTCATAAGTTATGGAATACAAAGTCACAGGCAAAACATTAGTTATATTACCTAGGCTAACATTAAGCAATCTGATTCAATTTTAATGACATTGAAAATAATGAAATACTTAAGAATAAATTAAACCTAAGTAACCAAATCTACAGATTTAATGCAATCCCTATTAAAATATCAGTTTTTTCATAAGTTGAAAATTTCATTCTAAAGTTCATATGTCTGCAATCCCAGCACTCAAGAAGCCGAGACAGGAGGATCACCATAAGTTCAAGGTCAGTCTTGGCTACAGTGAGTTCAAGGATATAGTGAGACCCCTTCTCAAAAAAAAAACTAAAATTTATATGGACTCTCAAGGGACACCAATAGCATAATAATCCTGAGGAAGGAAAACCAACTAAATGACACATACTTCCTGACTTCAAAATTCACTATAAAGCTATAGAAATCAAAATAATTTGAAGCTAGCTTGCCAACAGAAACAGACCCCAAAAGTAAATCCTCACATACATGGTCAGTAAATTTCTGACACAGGTGCCAGGGTCAGTCAGTGGGGAAAGTACAGTCTTTTGTAACCTTGATTTAGGGAAAACAATATCTGTATAAAGAAAAGTGAAAGTGGATCCTAACCTTACACACTAAACAAAAATAACTCGGAATAGATCAAAGATTAGAACATAAAGGCTAAAACTATAAAACTTGGAGAAGAAAAGATGGGGAAGAAATCTTTATGACATTGGATTTAGCTATGATTTCTCAGATAGGGTGCCAAAAACATAGCCAACAAAAGAAAGCACAGATAAGTTGAACTCCATCAAAATTAAAAATCTGTGTATCAAAGGCCACAGTCTTGAGACCATAATAGTACAAAGAAAATCCTCATGATGGGAGGAAATATTTGCAAATCACAAACCTGATAGTGGATTCATACTCAGAATACGTAAATAATTCCTGTAACTTGACAATAACAAACAGTTTTTCAAAATGAGTAAAGGATATGCAGATATAGTTCTCCCATAAAGGATATTCAGATGGCAAATAATCACATGAAAAAGTGTCCACTGTCACCAGTCAGTAGTACATATCAAAACCACAATGACCAACAATACTCCACTTCTTATCCGTTAGCATGACTACCCCTAGATAAGAGATGTACATTCATCCGCAGACCCAAAGTAAAAACACAGGGAAAATAACAGCTGTTGTTGAGGATGTAGAGAAATTAGGATCCTTGTGCATTGCAGATAGGAATATTAAAGGGTACAGTGCCATGAAAAATACTGTAACAGTTCCTGAAAAAGTTCAAGAATTATGATGTGCAGCATTCTACTCCTCATCCAGCAATTCCACTCTTATGTATATACCCCCAAAAATGGAAATCAAGAATTCAAACAGTGTGTTTACATCACTGTTCACACAAGCAGTATTCACAACAGCCAAAAGGAAAAACACATGGATGGACAAGATGTGGTGTGCGGCATTTTCAGCATTAACAACGAATGAATTTCTGATATGTGCTACCTCCTGGATGAGCCCTCAAAACATTATGCTTAGTAAAATAAACTAGACACAAAATGACTTACATGCACCCATTTACAAGAGGCAAAGTCATACAGACAAAATGCAGAACAAAGATTTGTCTTTTTGAGACAGGGCCTCGCATGCAGTTCAGGCCGCCCTTGAACTCCCTTTGTAGACCAGGCCGACCTCAAAATCACAGCAACCCCCTGCCTCAGCCTCCCAAGTACTGGCATTACACGCGTGCACCACCATGCCGAGCTGGAATGGAGATTTTTATAGCAGGGTGGATGGAGGAGGGAATAAGGATCATCATTTACCGAGTCCTGGAGTTTTCCGGGATGATGAAAATATTTACAGAAATGGATAGTAATGAGAGTCATACAAAATGTGGAAGTGTTTAATGCCACAGAATTGTACACTTAAAGCATCTCAACATGGTTCATTTTATGTTATTTATATTTTACTACAACGAAAAAAGAACATAGGCAGCCAGACATTTATTGAAGGTATCAGTAGCACAAATTTAATTTTTTTTTCCCTCATGTCTTAGGTACTTTATGCTCGTTGCTGAGACAAAATACCTGATGCCCAAGTTGGGAAAGGAAGGTTTATTTCTTATAGTTTTTGGAGGTTTCAGTCCACACTCAGTTTGCTCCCAGGCAGGCAGACATGTTTGCAGCCGTTCAGACGGCTGCAAACACAAGGAGGAACCAGCAAAGAGCAAGACATGCCTTCTTCTGCCATTACATCACATCCTGGCTCCACCCCTATGTGGGTGGAGCACTGACACCATCCATCCAAGCACTAGACAGTGAACCAATCACAAATACACAATGCAAACTCATGA